AGAGGCATCGAGGTCTGTTCGCAGTCACAGTAGTAGCAGCAGCATTAGTAGTAGTAGTAGTAGTAGTAGTAGTAGTAGTAGTAGCAGCAGTAGTAGTAGCAGTAGTAGTAGCAGTACTAGGAGTAGGAGGAGGGAGAAGAGGAGGAGGAGGAGGAAGAGGAGGAAGAGGAGGAAGAGGAGGAAGAGGAGGAGCTGCAGCGGGAGCAGTAGCAGAAGGTGTAGCAGAACTAGTAGTAGCCGGAGTAGTAGTAGTAGTAGTAGTAGTAGTAGTAGCAGCAGTAGTAGCAGTAGTAGCAGTAGCAGTAGTAGTAGTAGTAGTAGTAGTAGTAGTAGCAGCACCATCACCACCACCAGAAGTCGCAGTCGCAGTGACAGTCCCAGCCGCAATGGCAGTGGCAGTGGCAGCAACAGCAGCGGAACGAGGAGCAGGAGGAGCAGGAGCAGTAGGAGCAGGAGCAGGAGCAGGAGCAGGAGCAGGAACAGCAGCAGTGGCGAAAGCAGTACACTAGCAGTGGCAGGAGCAGCAGCAGCAGCAGCAGCAGCAGCAGCAGCAGCAGCACTAACAGCAGCAGGAGCAATGGTAGCAGTAGTCGTCGTCGTCGTCGTCGTCGTCGTCGTCGAATGAGTAGAAGTAATCAGTAATTAGTAGTCGTCTTAGTCGTCGTGGTCGACGTCGTCGTAGCAGCAGCAGGTGTTGTATTGGGAGGGAAGAAGTTTCAGGAACGACGACGAAGACGAAGACGATCACGTCGACGAAGGCGACGACAACAACAAAAAAACAGCAACAACAGCAACCACAACAGCAGCAACAACAATGACAGCAGCAACAACAATGACAGCAGCAACAGCAATAGCAACAGCAACAGCAACAGCAGCAACAACAATAACGCAACAGCAGCAACAACAACAATAACAGCAGCAACAGCAACAGCAACAGCAACAGCAACAGCAACAGCAACAACAACGACGACGACAACAAGAAGCAGAAGTCATGCCAAGGTATGCCTTGTTGTTCTTTGTTTGGTTCTCCGGACAGGACAGAGTCTAGGGGTGAAGAGCGGGGACGTCGCTTCTTTGAGTCATGCTCGTTGCACATAACCTGAAGGCCTTACACCATTGTCGGTCTGTTTCGTTAGACGTGATGAGGAGCTACGGCACCCTATATCTACGTGCTCTTGTGTTACAGCCCCTCAACGCTAGGTTGCTGCTTACTGATCCGCACACTGTAACTTGGGAGAATCGTCTGTGCTGCTCTGCCTCGCTGCACAGGTCACAATCGATCCGAGTAGTGGTGAGCAGACAAGACTACTGGATAGCAATTCACCCGCGAAGCTGTGTCACATTGACCACATGATGTGCCGCCAGGTCAACCTTTCATTCGAGCTAAAGTCTTCCCGAGCAGCACGCGGAAAGGACCCATGTCCACCGCAGCACTGGCTGCTAGCAACCTTCCAGGCACTGAGTGCGACCCTCCTCTCGTGGGGGGATGCTTGACGTAAAGCATGGCAAATTGCCGTCCGAGAAGCCGGGCTTTGGCCAAGTGGGCGAAGTTGACGAGCCTTGACTTTGGCAAGCTTGGGGCACACAGTCCTGGCGAATGCCCGACCCGAGACGCTGGCTCTTGGCCCAGACTCTCCACGCGGCCTTAGTCACGCTGGGCGGGATGTATAGGATCTCGGCAAATATTTGTGGACCTACTTGGCAGCTCATAGTATTGACGAATGCCCGCCCCTCCTGGGCTTCCAGCTTGCCACACAGGCAAGGTCGTCGGGTCTGAACTCATCGATGACTCTGCCAGAAGCGTCCGTAGGCCATGAGCTTTGCCTTGGCTGCAATTCCACCGGGCTCGGAGCTGAGAGTTCAGCTTGGGTATCGTGTTATCCCAGGGTCTGTCTTCAGTTCATGTACAGCTCTCCAGCACGTCGGGGTCACAACGCTTCGGATTCTGACCGCTCCAGCTCCACATGTCGATGTCGGGCGGTCACACTGTCTCACTGCGGGCGGTGGTTGTTGAGCCCTGCGCATAGCCGACCATGGCGGGTCGTGGACTGATTCGTTCAATGCTACTTGGGTTGTCTTGGACTCTGCGAAAGACTGAACAGTATACAGCCCCGTGGGTGTCATAGCGCATCTTGGGCCACTAATGTGCGCAGGCGAAGTGGGGCACCAGCCACCCGTCAACAGGCTGTGTTTTCCGACAAGACAACGACGACACAAGGAGATTTTGCTCTTTAGGCCAGAGATGAAAATCGATACTGCCCGATACACGGTGCTCCTTCCGCGGGAAAGCCGGTGAAACTCGAGATCTTGTTCGGCCGGAAGGGCCGCAGGACTCCAGTCGCTTCTCTGCGACTCTTCTGCTGTTCCCAGTATCGCAGCAGGTCAGGGCGGCAGCAGGTCCAGTTGCCAAAGCCTTCATGCGATCGGGCAGGGGAGCCCAGTCTGCAACGCATCGGCAACGCATGGCTCAGGAAGGAACCCGACGTCGGACAAGACCTCAGCAGCGCAGGAGTTGGACCGGACCGCCGATTTCTCTGCCGTCTCAGCGCTTCGCCACATTTCCTGCCAGCGGATGGCGAGGACCCCCCGTGATGCAGAGCTCGAAGTCCTCTCAGCAAGACTCTCCCAAACGCATCTGCTCGTGCTGCGACCTCAACGACTCAAGGGAGCGCCATGAGTAGACCGCTTTCCCACCTCTGGACGAGAAGCTGATGTCGGGTCAGATGAAGCCATCGCTGCCTTCAGCTCTGAGATGGTGGTGCCCTGCCCAGTGCAGCGGGTGACTTGCACAGCTGCATGGGATCGTTCTTACGTAAAGTAGACCATCCTGTACCCACGGTTTGTAGCACCTCCTAGTATCCCGATTCTGAGTGGGGAGTCGGCGGTCTCTGACTTGCTCTTACTGGCCTGTGCAGGTGTCTGCAGCACAATGCATGCTTTGAATAATGCGTGCGGAGATTTGATGCATTCATTTCAAGTGCGCCTCCTTCACCGGAACCCGGTGGCTCAAGCCGAGCACGTGGTCGATGTGAACACGGACCTCTACGGAAGACAAATTCCAGATTGTGCTTGCACGCTCTTCTGCGCGCTTGGCTCCGCGACTGTTACAATGTGTTTGGGACGTTCCCCATCTGGGACCAGAACTATTCTATTCATCTTGCAGTTGCACCCGGCTGCAGCACTGCTCCCTCAGCATCCCCATGTCCCTTTCGCAGGCAACCACAAAGACTAGGATGCACTGGCAAAAGCCCTGCATCCGTGCACAGCTGCCTCTGCATGGCCCCTCCATTTTGGTGACACAGCCTGACATCAGGCTTGGACGGGCTTTTGGATGCTTGAGGGCCACAACCGTGGATCAAGATCTCCCAAGCTAAGCTTCTCCAAGAGAAAAGACCTCCGGAATCCTGTGCTTTTCGGTTTTGGGCTCCTGAGAATCCACTCTGAAGACCCTCGAAAGCTGGCGGCGAGCCCGCCGCTCACCTCAGGGCAAAGGGGAGCCGGCTTCGAAGCCACCGAAGCCGGGGGTCGGAACCTGGCCATGGCGGGCGAAGACTTCTTGTCCTATCCAGCTGTTTAGGGTTCAGGGAAGGGACCAGAAGGCTTAGCGGCTTAGAGTTTGGGGCCATGAGGAGAAAACTACGCCAGCTTCACGCGAAGTCGAATCGCGCTGCCTCTGGCCGGGCCGCTTTCTTTGTTCGGACACGAAAACTCAGGCGCCTTGTTCAACACCTCACCGGGATCCACCTGTCGGCCGAACCTGGGACGAACTATTAGCAGCCGGACTCTTCGAACTCCCGGACCCAAAAACTACAACTACCTCGAACTCTCGACCCATCTGTGTGCCGAGCCGATACAGCTGGATCCACTCGGCCTAGCGCTAGGCTTGAATGGAGGAAATAATTTGCCGCAAGCTCGAAAGTAAAACCAGCAGGCAAGCAATTCTTCAATCAGAGGACCATAGCAGATTTAGTCAATCATCTTCTGGCGATCCCGATACCATGAGCACAATTCACGCGGGGCCATTCCTGAAACCGAAGACAAGGCGACGGACAGACAGGATGGGACAAACGCGGAGCCGGACAAAAAGACTTTAACTTTGACTGCGCGGAACAGTGGGCTGTCCCTATCGCGGCGGCTTGACAAGCAGACCCTGGGCCCGGTTTATTGTTTGAAGGTATGTGTTGAGCTTGCATCGCGTGCTGTGTACCAGATGGTTGTCTCATTTTGCATCTAGTGGCGACCCGCAGTGAATAACCGGGAGAGAGAACTTGAAAACTCCAGCACGGGGGAAGGGCCCTGAGACTGAAAACGTGACAGCTGGCCTCCAGAGTGATCTTCAAGCACGGATGGATTGATATGGGCTTATAAAGGTATCTGCAGGAAACTTTGCTGAGTCTCCCCCGCACGGTTCTGAGTCAGTGCTACATTGAACATATTTGAACATCACGTGCTTGTTCCGTCGTTCTGGCCTCTTCTCCCGCCATCTCGCGCCTGAGGTCATTCACCGAGGACCCTGCCGGCACCTGGCTTGAACACCACAGACTGTTTCGTCTCTTTCGTGAAAACGAAGACACGCCCTTTGCCGGCTTCAATTCGCAGTGCACCTCAAAGCTGCGGCTCCACTTCTCACCTTGCAAGAGCCACAAGTAGAGCAGTATCAACACATCGATCCGGAACAGCGCCAGCCTTGTAAGACGAAGCGCACCTCCACAGGCACAGTGCCACCTGCTTTTGCCTGCGATGCTTCCAACCCGCTCTCTTCGCTCAGCTCCATGAGAATGCAGAGGGTGCCGGGGCGCCGCACCGTCTCAGTGACAGCCTGCCGAGTTGCATCGGCCTTTGCAAATGCGGAGGTTCGGGAGACGCGGGCTAAACAAAGCCTTGGGCTAGAGTTTTTGACTAGATCCAAGACCGACATCCCAAATATCCGGCAGATGCACTTCGATGCAGGACCCCGGTGGGTCCTCGATTTCGTCGAAGTCAAACATCCCATCGCCATCACCCTGCTCCTTTCAGGGGGATTGCTTGCACTTAGATACTCGACCATGGCGGTCAGGCCGGCTAAGCCTCAAGTCTCAAAGGGGCATCAAGGGGGCTTGACTCCTACAACCACTGGCTGGACATGCAGGAAATTGGCTGGCCCAGGCCAGTCTCTCCTCCGACACATTCTGGGCAGAGGCAGCATCGCCTCAATAACGCAAGCACAACATTCAGATGCATGCCTGATAGAAAGCCACAGCCTGACAAGTCAGCGGATCAGAAATCACGACAAATGACAAGCAAGTGCAGCCACTGACCGCTGCCTGTGCAAACAAAACTGCTCATGGGCGTTAACACTTTAGGACACAAAGGCTTCTGCTCAAAGCCGCGGACTTTTAATGGCTTGAGCGCCGTTGCTCCCGATGCTTCAGGACGGTTCAGGGATCAATGGCGCTGCCTCCATTGATAAACTTCTTGGCACTGCCTCATTGGTTTTGTCGCCTTTGATCACTGCTTCGTTTATGCCTGTGGACGGAACGGAGTTCCTGTGCAATTACTGGCGGTCTGGATTGCTGTCCGAAGAGCAGAAGCTTTTGTAGCAGCTCAGATTACAGCAGTCCAGTGCCGGCAACAAACAATCGGTGAAACCCTGGCTCTGGCCAGCTGGCATTAACTGGTGCCGCGTAGGATGCAACTTTCAGAGGCGCAAGCCTCTGGTTCAACCCCAGTATTATCAGCGGTTTAGGGTTTAGGGTTTAGGGTTTAGATCAAATAGCAGACTGCCCAGAAAGCTTATCACGGAGAACCTCTGCCAGGTGCACCCTGCGCGCGCTCAAGAAACAGCTGCTGCATCCTCGGTTTTTTGCAATGTGGGCCGCGAAGTGCTGCTCCCAGCAGAGTGCCGTCTGATGCACGCGACAGACTTACTAGGAGGATTGAAAACAGTCTTCGACGGGGTTCCTCACTCATATGAAGTGCGAGTCCGAGCATGATACTTCGGTGGGAGGCTCCACAGGAACTGACATCGGCCAAGCAGCTTCTCTTGAAGACGTTGAATCCGCTCATCCACGCCAGACCTCAGGTGATTTGGCTGTAAATTCAAACTTCAATTTTGGAACCATCCTCACAGAAACAGGCTCAACCATACACCTTCTCATCAGGATTTGCCATGCCACGCACTTTGCCTCTCCTCGTCCTGGGACGGGCGTGACAGACCGCTCCTCAGAAACAGGCGATGCGACAAATTCGTGCCTGACCGCCAAGAAACCCAGATCCCATTCAGTGATCAGCTTAGCAGGCGGTATTCATAGCCATTCTGCTCAGCCATGAAGCTCCGCATTGGTGGGCTGCGTGCTCGAAGTTCCGAGTGCAGACAGCAGAGAGTCAATCTTCCTGTTGGCATGGCGGGCAATGCAGCTTGATGAAAACCCAACACAGCTC